CTTCTTAGTTTTTCCAAGTCACTAGTCACGAGCAACCAAAACCCCGCTAAGGAGGGCGGATTGACATGCGTTCCATACCTCTAAGGATAGGGAATGTTCATGCAACCATTTTCCCAAAGCTATGGATTTGTTCTGCTGCTCGGTTGATGGGGGGTTTTAGATCATGGATCATCCCCATGAAACCAGTGCTCCTGTTGGTTCCAACTCATCCCAGAAATGTTCCCCAGAAACTGGGGAGGCAACCCCCACCAGCTGAACACCAAGCTTCATCCATGTCATTGATGACATATTCACCTCCATGATGTCGGCTACCTCTTGATCTTTCAACTCGTGGAAATACCTCAGGGACTTGAGAGAGTCTAAGAATCATATGCTCCACTCAGGTTTTAGTAACCATGACTTCAATGTACTTCAATATTTATTCTGTTCAAGCCAAAGGCTCCTTCAGGGGAAGCAGCCCAAATCAAGAATCACAACGAAGCTTGCCCCAGTCCCTCAAACAATCCTAGAAAAACACCATCAATCTCGCAAAATCATCAAAAATCATCAAAATTCACTCATCCAGTCCCATCCAGGTGCTTGGTGTAGGGATAGGATAAACCCACATTGTTGATGAGGATACCGACATCCAAGGTGGCCAGCTTTTCCTTCACGGCCTCTCTGGCTGCTGCATCAAAGTTCGAAAAGTCCACCTTGCTGCTTGGAGGTGGAAATTCTTATCCAATTCACCCATGATGAATAGAATTTTGGCCATTTGTTGGACAAGTATGACAAGTATTATTCTGATATATATTCTGATATATATATATAATGTGATCATTAGCATTTATTAGTCAACTGTTGGAGATTTTCAGCTATTACTTCAATACCGCGGGCTAGTCTCATCCGATTCTTGGATCTGTTTTACCATGAAGGAGTGGGGATTATGATTATTATATACTGGTGGTGATGAAACAAAATACTTTGGGATCGATGGAGACTATCGATAGTTGGAATCCAATTAATAATGGGCTCATTGGATTATGATCTACTAGTAATATGAAATAGTCCATAAAAATAGATTATGATAGTCCCAATAGATCTAGATTATAGTTAAATATAGTTAAGATCTATTGGGACTATTGGGAATTCGGTGCAAGCTTGTCAATCTGGACACTACTCTTCGAGTAAAATGATGTTTGATGACATTCAATGGGCGCATACCAAAGGCACTCCGATTCCCACCTTGAGCTGATCGACGGTCACATGGTATTTTCCTTTGAGCTCTTTGGCAGTCTCTGTTAATCTTTCCTCACTCCTGCAAATGGTTTCCAAAGGTGACTTTTTGTCTCCCTCCTAGCCGTTTTAGTGCTGTTAGACACTGATATCTCCATGTTGGTTCTTGGGTGTACCGACAAGTCTCAAGGAGGGCCCATGAGCAACATAGTCAACATATAGAAAGAAAGTTGACTGAAACTAAGGTAGCCCTAAATCCACTGGTCAACATCGTCATGTTCCTATCGTGGCCCTAATATTTTTTAAGGCCATCGTCGGCATCTCCTGGCCACGAGCAGCACGTTCAGTCCCTGGCGTGCCAGTTCCATGGCATAGGCCTTTCCAATGCCATCGGTGGCACCAGTGACCACGGCCCACTGGCCATACTGCTTGAGCTCCTCGTGCCAGGTTGGGTTCAGGCCGGCGACGGAAAGTGAGGAAAGTGAACCCCTAAACTGCCAGAGCTTGAGGATACAATCGAATCTGCACCATCCAAGACATGCATGTGTGTATGTAGACAGTATACAATATAGAGCTATACCAAAATACAAGCACAATGACGAATACTCTCACAAGTGCGCGACACTGCAACCCATCCAGAAGCAAGATAAAACCGGATGCACGCCCCGAATCCCGAGCCTTGCCAGGGCGGAGAAAGAACTTGTATGCCAAATATAGGCAGTGGCAGCCCTTGGCAGCTGCAGCCAGGCAAAGGACTGAGAGGAGTTCCATCGCGGAGAGTTCGCACAAAATCAGCAGCACTTGAGGAGAAAATCAGCAGCCAGTTGCCCCCAGTCCCTCACTCGATCCAAACTCACATGGCTTGGGAAATTTACTAAAAGAACTTCCTCTGGATGTGCCCCACTTGTGTCTCCCTTCGGGGGCGAATTTGCAATTTGAATTCGTTGTTGCAGACTTGAAGCAAAATAGGTATTATTCCGGACACATCATCAGGACAACGGGATAGACAACGCACTGCTTTTCATTCAGTGTGTTTTTCCTCAACAAGCAAAAAAGGTATATAGTTTTGGGTGGTGTGCAATCACCTAGCAAAGACAGGGACACACATATATATATATAATACACACATGTATATGTATATATATATATATATTGCAGCATATATATATATATATACATACATATATGTATATATCCGCCGACCCCGGCCTTCGCCAAGGCAGGGGCGGCGCCTGGGACCACCGGAGGTGTGGAACCTGCTTTGTCACGGCCATGGCCTTCACGTTGTCCAAGGCTTCCACCAAGCCCTGTGGCTGAACCTGCCGTTTGGTGCACACAGCCTCTGTTGTTAGGGCGTTCTGCTGTTCCAGCGTCGCGGCCGCAGCAATGGCTTCTTATAGGCGTTCAAGGCTGCCGTTTGACAGGCTTCAAACCCCTAAACGGAGGTGTGGAACCTGCTTTGTCACGGCCATGGCCTTCACGTTGTCCAAGGCTTCCACCAAGCCCTGTGGCTGTAAGCTTCTGCTGTTCCAGCGTTGCAACCTGCCGTTTGGTGCACACAGCCTCTGTTGTTAGGGCGTTCTGCTGTTCCAGCGTCGCGGCCGCAGCAATGGCTTCTTATAGGCGTTCAAGGCTGCCGTTTGACAGGCTTCAAACCCCTAAAATGTCTCGCCGGCCGTTTGCAATGCTTCGAATACTCGCCGTCAGCCCCTGCTGTTCCAGCGTTGCAGCCTGCCGTTTGCCTGCACAGAGCCCAACACGCGCCACTCCCGCATGCGCAACGCCCAACTTCGCAGGCAAACGGTACCCCAACAAGCCCAACAGGCGCCACGCCCGCAGGCAAAAGCCACCACAAGGCCACAGCAATGGCTCAAGGCATCCCCGCGGCCGCAGCAATGGCTTCTTATAGGCGTTCAAGGCTGCCGTTTGACAGGCTTCAAACCCCTAAAATGCTTCGCCGGCCGTTTGCAATGCTTCCAATACTCGGCCGGCCGGTTGCACCAAGCCCTGTAGCCGTCAGCCCCTGCTGTTCCAGCGTCGCGGCCGCAGCAATGGCTTCTTATAGGCGTTCAAGCCTGCCGTTTGACAGGCTTCAAACCCCTAAAATGCCTCGCCGGCCGTTTGCAATGCTTCCAATACTCCGCCGGCCGGTTGCACCAAGCCCTGTAGCCGTCAGCCTCTGCTGTTCCAGCGTTGCAGCCTGCCGTTTGCCTGCACAGAGCCCAACACGCGCCACTCCCGCATACACAACGCCCAACTTCGCAGGCAAACGGTACCCCGACAAGCCCAACAGGGCGCCACGCCCGCAGGCAAAAGCCACCACAAGGCCACAGCAATGGCTCAAGGCATCCCCCCGGCCGCAGCAATGGCTTCTTATAGGCGTTCAAGGCTGCCGTTTGACAGGCTTCAAACCCCTAAAATGCCTCGCCGGCCGTTTGCAATGCTTCCAATACTCGGCCGGCCGGTTGCACCAAGCCCTGTAGCCGTCAGCCCCTGCTGTTCCAGCGTCGCGGCCGCAGCAATGGCTTCTTATAGGCGTTCAAGGCTGCCGTTTGACAGGCTTCAAACCCCTAAAATGCCTCGCCGGCCGTTTGCAATGCTTCCAATATTCCGCCGGCCGGTTGCACCAAGCCCTGTAGCCGTCAGCCCCTGCTGTTCCAGCGTTGCAGCCTGCCGTTTGCCTGCACAGAGCCCAACACGCGCCACTCCCGCATGCACAACGCCCAACTTCGCAGGCAAACGGTACCCCAACAAGTCCAACAGGCGCCACGCCCGCAGGCAAAAGCCACCACAAGGCCACAGCAATGGCTCAAGGCATCCCCCCGGCCGCAGCAATGGCTTCTTATAGGCGTTCAAGGCTGCCGTTTGACAGGCTTCAAACCCCTAAAATGCCTCGCCGGCCGTTTGCAATGCTTCCAATACTCGCCGTCAGCCTGTGCTGTTCCAGCGTTGCAGCCTGCCGTTTGCCTGCACAGAGCCCAACACGCGCCACTCCCGCACGCACAACGCCCAACTTCGCAGGCAAACGGTATACCCCAACAAGCGCAACAGGCGCCACGCCCGCAGGCAAAAGCCACCACAAGGCCAAGGCATCCCCGCGGCCGCAGCAATGGCTTCTTATAGGCGTTCAAGGCTGCCGTTTGACAGGCTTCAAACTTCAAACCCCTAAAATGCCTCGCAGGCCGTTTGCAATGCTTCCAATACTCGGCCGGCCGGTTGCACCAAGCCCAAGGCCACAGCAATGGCTCAAGGCATCCCCCCGGCCACAGCAATGGCTTCTTATAGGCGTTCAAGGCTGCCGTTTGACAGGCTTCAAACCCCTAAAATGCTTCGCCGGCCGTTTGCAATGCTTCCAATACTCGGCCGGCCGGTTGCACCAAGCCCTGTAGCCGTCAGCCCCTGCTGTTCCAGCGTCGCGGCCGCAGCAATGGCTTCTTATTATAGGCGTTCAAGGCTGCCGTTTGACAGGCTTCAAACCCCTAAAATGCCTCGCCGGCCGTTTGCAATGCTTCCAATACTCCGCCGGCCGGTTGCACCAAGCCCTGTAGCCGTCAGCCCCTGCTGTTCCAGCGTTGCAGCCTGCCGTTTGCCTGCACAGAGCCCAACACGCGCCACTCCCGCATGCACAACGCCCAACTTCGCAGGCAAACGGTACCCTAACAAGCCCAACAGGCGCCACGCCCGCAGGCAAAAGCCACCACAAGGCCACAGCAATGGCTCAAGGCATCCCCCCGGCCGCAGCAATGGCTTCTTATAGGCGTTCAAGGCTGCCGTTTGACAGGCTTCAAACCCCTAAAATGCCTCGCCGGCCGTTTGCAATGCTTCCAATCCTCGCCGTCAGCCTGTGCTGTTCCAGCGTTGCAGCCTGCCGTTTGCCTGCACAGAGCCCAACACGCGCCACTCCCGCATGCACAACGCCCAACTTCGCAGGCAAATGGTACCCCAACAAGCCCAACAGGCGCCACGCCCGCAGGCAAAAGCCACCACAAGGCCACACTCCCGCACGCACAACGCCCAACTTCGCAGGCAAACGGTACCCCAACAAGCGCAACAGGCGCCACGCCCGCAGGCAAAAGCCACCACAAGGCCACAGCAATGGCTCAAGGCATCCCCGCGGCCGCAGCAATGGCTTCTTATAGGCGTTCAAGGCTGCCGTTTGACAGGCTTCAAACCCCTAAAATGCCTCGCCGGCCGTTTGCAATGCTTCCAATACTCGGCCGGCCGGTCGCACCAAGCCCTGTAGCCGTCAGCCCCTGCTGTTCCAGCGTCGCGGCCGCAGCAATGGCTTCTTATAGGCGTTCAAGCCTGCCGTTTGACAGGCTTCAAACCCCTAAAATGCCTCGCCGGCCGTTTGCAATGCTTCCAATACTCCGCCGGCCGGTTGCACCAAGCCCTGTAGCCGTCAGCCTCTGCTGTTCCAGGCGCGTGTTTGCTCTGTGCGGCAAACGGCAGCTGCAACGCTGAACAGCACAGTTACGGCGATGATTCGAAGCATGCAAACTGCCGGCATGCATTTTAGAGGGGTTTTGGAAGCCGGTGAAACCAGCCTGAACGCCGATAGAAGCCATTGCTGGCCGGGGGATGGCCTTTTTGGGGGGAAAAAAGCCCTGGGGTGGCTTTTGCACTGCGGCTGGCGCCTGTTGGTCTTGTTGGGTACCGTTTTGCCTGCGAATTGGGCGTTGTGCATGCGGGAGTGGCGGCGTGTTTGGGCTCTGCAGCACACGGCAAGCTTGCACCTATAAGAAGCCATTGCCTGTGGCCGGTGGGGATGCCTTGAGCCATTGCCTGCGTTCAGCCCAAGCTGCCCGGGCGCAGGCAACAGAGCCCCAACACCTCGCCACTCCCGCACGCACAACGCCCAACTTCGCAGGCAAACGGTACCCCAACAAGCGCAACAGGCGCCACGCCCGCAGGCAAAAGCCACCACAAGGCCACAGCAATGGCTCAAGGCATCCCCGCGGCCGCAGCAATGGCTTCTTATAGGCGTTCAAGGCTGCCGTTTGACAGGCTTCAAACCCCTAAAATGCCTCGCCGGCCGTTTGCAATGCTTCCAATACTCGGCCGGCCGGTCGCACCAAGCCCTGTAGCCGTCAGCCCCTGCTGTTCCAGCGTCGCGGCCGCAGCAATGGCTTCTTATAGGCGTTCAAGCCTGCCGTTTGACAGGCTTCAAACCCCTAAAATGCCTCGCCGGCCGTTTGCAATGCTTCCAATACTCCGCCGGCCGGTTGCACCAAGCCCTGTAGCCGTCAGCCTCTGCTGTTCCAGCGTTGCAGCCTGCCGTTTGCCTGCACAGAGCCCAACACGCGCCACTCCCGCATACACAACGCCCAACTTCGCAGGCAAACGGTACCCCGACAAGCCCAACAGGGCGCCACGCCCGCAGGCAAAAGCCACCACAAGGCCACAGCAATGGCTCAAGGCATCCCCCCGGCCGCAGCAATGGCTTCTTATAGGCGTTCAAGGCTGCCGTTTGAACAGCTTCATTCTCAACCCCTAAAAAATAATGGCCTCGCCGCCGTTTAAATGCTTCCAAAATCCCTCGCCGTCAGCCCCTGCTGTTCCAGCGTTGCAGCCTGCCGTTTTGCCTGCACAGAGCCCAAAACGCGCCACTCCCGCATGCACAACGCCCAACTTCGCAGGCAAACGGTACCCCAACAAGCCCAACAGGCGCCACGCCCGCAGGCAAAAGCCACCACAAGGCCACAGCAATGGCTCAAGGCATCCCCCCGGCCGCAGCAATGGCTTGTTATAGGCGTTCAAGGCTGCCGTTT